CAGGGAGTGTGAGTCCACATGGTGACTGTGTTGTTGGGGAAGTTGTTGTTTAATATACCAGCCCCATCTGCTGCAGGCCATGAACCCTTGACCCTCAATGACACCTGACAACTTGCTTGTGGCTACCCATTTACAGTTGGACATCATTTGTAATAGAGCCATAAGGTTCCATTCACACACTCACAAACATACAGACAAGATTTTGAATAATTAAGGGAGGCTTTCAGACCACTCCAAGGCTCTTTGAATGTTGGGGACCAAGTCTGAAGCCCCATAACCTAAGTGCTGGACTTTGTGGTATTTCTATCTTCATAGTGTTTGGTTCATTTACAACCATTGTGCAGTAATGCAACAATGGTTGATTGAAGCATCCTCTGGGTTCCTTTTTCCCAGAACCCATAAAAAATATATGTGTGATAATACCTATATATATATATATACCTACTCCCAATTTATTTATTTAAAAATTAAAAATTAAAATAGTGTACTTGTTCAACTATAGTACTCCACCTGGTTCCAGGAAGTCATTGATGTATATATATATATATATATATATATAATAAAGAAAGTTAAGTTAAGCTTTTGTGGACTTCCAATGCCCAGTGGTACATCTAGGACCTCTTTTTTGTCTCCAGAATCTCTTTGATGACTATGTTCATGTGAAGGATCCCATGTTCTGCATCCATTTATTCATTTACACATCCTCCAAATCACAGTAACTAGGGACAATACCATCTTGCATTACATTGACTTTGCCCCCACATTCAGATGTATATATATATATATATTTATTGGGGGGTCTGTGAACTTGTTTCTATCTTCATAGCATGCCAGAGGGCTGCATTACACCTGAAGCTCTTTCTCTCTTTCTTTCTAGGCTTTGTTTGGTTGATGGAGGAGCTTAAGTTGTGCTGAGCAGCAGTGGGAATGGCAAAGGCCAGATTGATTGGTGGGGGGGGGGGGGGGAGCCAAGTTGGGTGAATTGCATTGGGTGCCAGTTCCTTACTAACAATCCCCTGCTGCTTCAGCTCCCATGTGGATGGGCCATCCAAAGTCAATGCCTCCATGTTCTGCTACCACTTGGCTCCATTATTCCTTGGTTGTCACGTCATCCCCTCGTCCATCCATTCATCTGTCAATGAATCCATTTGTTTCATCCATGTATTCATCCCTCCGAATAACTACTGAGCCATTTGTGGTCTCTCTCTTCTTTGTAACAAACATGGCAAACAATAATGAGACATGTGAGAGAAGCAGATTCTGAATAAGCTGTGCATCTGATCTCCTTTTTATCTCCTTGGCAGAGCCTTTTTCAATGTGCAATGTGCAGCTGCTGATCCCCTTTTATCCCCTCTTGGCAGATCCTTTTTGCACTATCCAATGCAAGATGACATAGTTGTATTTTATTGCTCTTTATTGTTATCATGATCAATATTCAGTGCTTTATAATCCATTTCCTAGGGTGCTGTAGAAGTAAGTGAAAATATCATCATTCATTCATTCAACAACATGTTCAATTTCCTCTTCTTGTTTGTTGGCATTATTGTGCCTTGGATTGTGTGGTGTGGAGGTGGGGTGGGTTGCATCATTCAGGTAGCTATATTAAGAATATTAATAACAATAATCCATCAGCATCATGATAAGATCTTCAAAATTGGACTATGTGCATTGCTACAAATTCCTTGGAAATGGCTAGCTGCTGTTCAAATATATGCTTGGTGCTCCCAACAAAAATTCCTCAGGACAAGCACTAATACGTCCACTTGTTGTGCAATATCCATTCTTGGTGTAGGAATCAAGGTTGTAGGTATGGAGTTGAGAATTACTTTTATTATGAAGAGCTTTAAACCATTTTCATTCCTTTTATTATTACCTGTTTACAGGATTTGTTCAGCTGTGTGGATACTGTACAGAAATAAAATTACCCATATATATATATATATATATTTTAACTAATCTTGCCCATAAATGAGACTGCATAACACTAACAAGGCAAAAATTAATAGTTTTAACTTAAGATATGTGTAAAATGTTAAGTTTTGAATTAAATTTCGTTCAGAGAAATAGTAATCCCTCCCCATTCTTGAAAGAACACTAGAGACCAAGTTTTCTTACCCCAGGATCAGTTGTGATATACATATTGATAAAGTGGCTTAGAAGCCTTTGAAGGGATGTTGGGTTTAATGCATTGTTTGCTGAGGGAGATATGGACAAGGGACCTGAATGAAACATTCCATTCCTACAGCAAGTTTGGCAAGCTACTGTCAGTAGATCTCATTTGTTGAATTCTGAATTTGGTGCTTGTCACAAGAACAAGAAACTTTAATATATGTTGAGAAGAAAGAAAAAATCTCTTTTTAAATCTAAAATTTGATTAGATTCATTTACTTTGTATACACATTGAATTTTTGGTTGTCTTTTCGTTAATATACTACTGTGGTTTATAATTACAAATAAACTATAGTATTTCATTAAAACCTATAAAATTACCTAAAATCTAAAGCTTATTGAGAATGATAATGAAAAAAGAATGAAAAAAGAAATAAAAAAACGAGGGGTTTGATATACCTTAGGTCCTTTAATTAATCTTATCATATTTTATCATATTTGAAAAACCATTGAGAGATTTTAAATATATAAGCAGTTGCTATGATATTTCAGTACTTAACATGATAAGCATTGATATTTACTTCGAATTTATTGCTGATTAAATCGTCTTCATTTTTTTTTTTCATTCTCATATTCCAGTTTTGTCAGGTGTTTATGCACGCACTTAAGAACCCAACTATGTGATTTGAAAGTGACAAACTTTGGAGAAGCATGCAGATTATTTTTTGATAATGAAAAGTTTCACTTCAATGTCACTGCTGGAAACGATTAATCATGTGTGTGGGATGTTCATCCGCCAAATTAAATCACCCATCTTCAGGCAACCTGAATTGAATAATAATGGAAAAAACACACATTGGTGTCTGTGTGTGCATGTTTTGCATTTGTACAGAGAGGTAAGAAACAACGATGTCGATGCCGCTGATAATAGTCGAGGTGCATTGGATTCCTGAATTTCACGTTGGTGGAGTAGGGGTGCATGAGAAGGAGATGGAGGGAGGAAGGAGCCCAAGGCAAGGTCCTCACTCTGGACCTGTTTGTTGCTCCGACTCAAGGAATGAAGGAAGGGGAAGGGAAGGGGAAGGGGAAGGGAACGGGGAGGGGAAGAACTGTACGCTCCCTCCCTCGCTTCCCTCGGCAGAAGTGGTACAGGAACCAGCTGGAAAGCGCATTTGCTCGGGGATTGGGATTGGCTCGGTGACCTACGTCGCCAATTATGGGCTTCCGACGAGGGTCACCAAGAACACCTGAGTTGAATAATAATAATAATAATAATAATAATGCAAAGGAGGGTCGTCTCGTGAATTGGATTCCGAAGCAGAAGCAGAAGGATGGGGATACGAATCTTCCTTCCTTCCTACCGTTGGGAACAACATGGGGACCTTGATGAACGTGGCACGCGACCTCCACCCATGGCCCTTCCTTCCTTCCTTCCTTCCTTCCTTCTGTGACTGAGTTGGGTTGGATTGGAGGAGGAGGAGGAGGGTATTGGAGTGACGAGAACTTACAGTAGTAGTAATAGTAGTACCGTAGTAGCGCAGCAAATACTGAAGCCAAGTGTAGTAACCAAGAAGCGGAGGAGGAGGTCCGGTCCCCCCCCCCCTTCCTGGATGATTCTGACAAGGACAGAGGGAGGGAGGCCCCACTCTCCCTGCTGCGACGATGGCATCCATTCGTGCGGGGTGTTGGATGGAACACTTGTAAGCCAGCAGGCAGGGTGTGTCATGCTTCGCTCAACTGGAACCGACGTCACAGAGCGGGTGACACCCTCCTTCCTCCTCTTGCGCAGTTGTAACTTCTTTCCCTCTCTCTCTCTTTCGACTGTTCCTGCAGCAGCAGCAGACGTCCTCCTTGGTAGTTTCCCTTCCCTGTGACAAAACGTGTGCCGGGGGTGTGATGGAACAGACGGGGTGATTTCTCATTCATCCGTCGCGCCGGCGAGCTTCTGGATTCCTTGCTGGGGAAAGAAAGCCCAGCGGAGCTGGACAGAGCCACGAGATGGACTGGATTCTGGGAATTGCGATGCACCCATTGGATTCATAGATATGCCCCTTCCAACTCTCTCTCTTTGTGCATTTTGATCTTAATGGAGGGGAACTGGTCCACATGATGGGAAAGAAAAGGACCAAGGGGCAGTAATTCACCCACCCTTCTGAAGGGCAAATGGTGCAGGCTAACTTTTCCTCACTAATTATTTTTGCAGTTATGTTGCTGGGTGGTTCATCTGGAGTGTGACACCCTCCCTGAGAGTTATTCAAGCCTCCACTCCCAGAAACCAATCAAGGCATCCTTCTGAACACTTTGCACATGCTTTCATTACTCAACATCTTTTCCAATTAAAGGTGGGGGTAGGGAGGGGGGGGAGGAGAGATGTTTTCAACCCAGTTTTTCAAAGAGTTTGCTGGGCACGGATTTTCACCTCGTTTCATACTGCTGTGAAGTTGTAGCAATCTTTGCACATTTTCATACTGCACTTTGCAGCAATCATCCATTCACTGCATCCAGCTCACAGCCAGCCACAAAAGGAGCACGCCCGATGAACGTTGAGACGGAAAATGACATGGCGTATTGTTCATCCATCCATCCATCCATCCATCCATCCATCCATCCATCCCCGACCAGGAGGAACGATGGGTCCCGGCTAGAGGCCAAAGTTGTTGTCTAGGCCGGGTCGGGTGGGGTTGGGTCGGGCGGGAGTCCTTTCCCCAGGCAAATGAGGCCAGCTAAAACTACTTTCACCCGGCCCGGCCGAGTTCCCATGTCCAGTGTTGTTGTTCCCTGCCCCACCTGCCTTCCCTTCCTTCCATCCCCAAGGCAAGGCAGCCTCTGACTGACCCCTCCCCCCGCCCCCCGCCCTCCCTCTCTCCCTCCCTCCTCTCTCTCTTTGCTGTGTCTCTGCCTTCTCGGCTATGGCGAGCTGGCCTGCTCCTCCTCGGCAACTTTCCTTCCTCCTTACATAGCTTGACCGCATCCCGATGTGCTCATTCCTGTGCGCTCTCCCCCGTTCCCGTGTCTGTGTTTAATTTTTCTCACCCTACGTCGCTGCATTTGCGTGTGCACGTTCTGTTGTTTTCTCAGAATTTTTCTGCGTTTCACAAGTGTCAGAGAGACGTGGTTGATGTAGTATCACGGGTAGCGGTGTCGCAACTCCAATGTGTGTACATTGTGTGGCGTAGAAAACGTTTCGGAAATGCTGAATTTGACGCAATTTGGCTGCTGAAAGGAGCGCCATCAGAGCAGCGCGTGGAACGCGACTGCAGGCTCTTAAAGCTGGAATTTGCGGTTAGGGAGAAGTTGATGGGAGTCGTAGTGGATCGTCTTGCTCTCTGAGCGGGTAGGTCATAGCTGCGGAGGTCTGAATCATCGCCGAGGAAAAGTGGAGAGAATATTTACGACATGCATTGCAGGAGAATTGTTTAATTTGTTCTCTTCGAGCTCCGTGAGCGTGTGGAGGCTGATCCAGAAGTCCTAGTTGTTGCAGTGCATGATTTGGAATAGAGTGCCCTCGTGCATTTTCAGATAGTGAGCTGCGGTTATCGTGATGCCATGCAATTGGTCCCACGCTCTGTACATTTGTCTCTCACGATAATACATTTTGGATACTGCTTTTGCTGTAGTTTCTGTAGTGTTAAGTGTGTACCTATCTCTGATTACGGTGTTGGAGACTGGGCCATTCTCTTATCAGTAGTGCTCCTGAGGTGGACGCTCGGAGGTTTTTCTTCTTAGACATTGAAAGGTGGAAGGAAGCGTCCGATCGGGGCGTCATGGGCAATAGGGACGCTCGGGATACATGAAGCGGTCAAGTGATTTGCAAGACTGACGAAAGGCGGTTTGCAGGGCAGAAAAACTTGGCGCATTGTGCGTTACGATTGTGCGTTTAAGGGTAGAGCGACTACAGTTGCTGCTTTTCTCATTGGACTGAAGAACACGCTCTTGAAAGGCCTTGTATTAATGTTAGTCAGTACTGAAAACTTAGCTGGATATTTACCAGCTCCTGACGCGCGTTCGCTCCCGCGGTAACGGGTTGGATAACTGCTACTTTGAATACTTGTCTTCAACTTTTTACGGGGTTGGAAACTTGGCGACGCTAGTGGACAGCCATTACAAGACGTGGTAAGCAGTACTTTGATCGTCGACTTTTTCCAAACAAAAGAGCGCACCATAATCTCGTCAACTGTAATGAATATTTTTCTGACTCTAGAGTGGCATGAGAAGGAGACTTTTCCAGGCACTGGCTGTTCTTAATCTCCTAGAACCATAGTCTCAAATCATGCTCATCAAGTAGAAATTGTTAATCATTAACGAGAACTTGGCTGGATTGGTGATGTTTTCCAAAAGCCTGAAACTGCTGAATCGAAGCACTACAGATTTAAATCTTTTACATTGAAGTCTGTCTGTTTGGAATGAAGAAGACAAGATAGGATTCTGTATCTCCAATAGTGGTTGTTGTGGGAGTAAATGAAACACTCTAGCTTCCTAGTTACCGAGAAGAATGAATCCTTTACATATCGAACTAATCTTAATCAAAGCTTTTGTTCACCTTATATAATGATGGTAATCACAATGCACTGTATGCCACATGAAGCACATGATCACCTACGTGATATGAATCAACTTTGAGAAGTATTCGTTTTAGAAATACACATGTTTGATTTCTCAACTTATGATGTTAATAAAAAAATATAAATAATTGTATGGAAATTTACAATCCGTTTTGGAAGAAATCGGGTCACATAGAGTCCGATCTCTTGTGTCCTTTGTGCTTGGAGGTTTGGTAGTTCCGGAGTCATTGAGTTTGAGGTTCAACTATGTCCAAGTTTGTCAGGCGTCATTTGGCTTAGCTGACTGTTCTCAGTAACGTTTGTGCAGATGTCTGACCGATGCTGTTGTGCATAGCAATCCATAAGTTTGGTCACGGCTCGGATCATTGGTGTTAAAACGCCTGATGTCTGTTATCTCACAAGTTTCATCAGTAGCCTGGCCTCAGATGCACCATGGCGGAGATTCAGACAGAGAAAAAGCTCAGTCCCAGCAGTTACAATCTATTCAACGGAGGAGCACTCAATGGAAAAGTTCCCGGAACCACTCAAACTGGGAAGATAGACCGATTTCAAGGATGGTCTATGTTCAATGGGGCGCAACTCGATGAGTCTCGGATCAGCAGCTTCTCAAAAGAAGATTCTTTCTCGTACAACTCTCTGTACAAAGGCAATTCACATGACAAAAACGTGAAAAAGGATGTGGAAAGGCAGAGCACTGGAACAGCTGGGAGTGGGAATGCCGTAAGAAATGCCTTAAGGAATAGTTCCAAAGCATCCAGTAGCAGTATTGGAACTGCGAGTGCAGTGGTTGATCCCTCTGATGCACAAGCTAGAGCTCTACGCAGCAGTGTAAATGGTGTGCCTCCTCTTGCTGGAGGATCACCAAGCGCCAGCAGATCTGGAAATGCTGCTAACGTGAATTCAAGGGTCGAGAATAGTGCGACTTCTGCAAGCATAGCAATTCATGAGAGGAGCAGCTCCAGTGATGACAGATTCAATAAAGAGCACCGTGGTACATACACAAAGCATATATCTGATGTTGAAGGTATTACTGTGGATTCACTATTCAATGGAGAACCTCGTAGAAATGTCAGTGGGGAGATGTCCTCAAGCGGAAGCAGTACTGGTGGAAACACTCCCAGAGTAGGGAATGATAGTTCTCCGTACTGGAGTCGGAGCGACAGTGGTCGGTTTTCATCGAAGGACGGAAGTTCGTGGAGCTCCTCCTCCAGTGGTGGTAGCCCTTCTGTTCTCAATTTAAAAGTCAGCAGTAGCCCTGTTGTGGACAGTCCTAGTCCAAGGGCAAGCACCTCTTCAAGTGGAGGAAGCTCGAGAGAAAGTTCAGTTGCTGGCAGTCCAACTGTGGGCAGAACAAGCATTGTTGGGAATTTGTTTGGGAAATCTACAGGTTCAGCGCCATCAGAATCTAGCCCTACAACGAATCCTCCTAGAAGTAGCAGTTGCAACGTTGGACACTTGCGCGTAGTATCTCGTAACATTGGAGCGTTATCAACGTCAGGTAAATTGGCTTCTATCTCATGATGCATTGAACGTCAGTAATTTTTTGATACCGATCCAACCAGAAGGGTGATAGACGTTGAGGACTACTAATCTGGGTCTATTCATTTTCCTGAACCATTTTTACTTCATGTTTGTGTGAGCTCAGGAGATTCTGTGGTTTGTTGTTGTAGGAGACACCAAGCTCGTAGTGCCAAATAAACCAACCCAGAACGCAGGGTTTCCTGCGCCTGTTGGAATCATATGCGGGCCCAATCATTCGAGACTCTCAACTGGAAGCGCTACAGGAAATACTGGAAAATCGAGTGGTACAACTGCGGAAATCTACTTTTCCCCTGCCAAGCCAGAGGGACTGCTAGCTTCAGCTGATGCCGATAGGGGAAATATAATTGCTGTTGGAGAGAGCTTGATGATCAAACGAATGCTAGCTAGCAGTGACCCTGAGGAAGTCAAAAAAGCAGGAAATGATCAGTACAAGAAAGGCAATTTCGTTGAGGCTCTCTCTCTCTATGACCGCGCTGTCTCTTTAGCTCCAGGTCGAGCTTCTTACAGAAGTAATAGAGCAGCTACGCTCATGTGTCTTGGGCGTCTGACGGAGGCTTATCAGGAGTGCGAGGAAACAATAAAGTTGGATTCTCAGTATGTGCGTGCTCTGCAACGACTTGTCTCTTTATGCATAAGGTAACCGTTCCATTGTGCAAGCTGGTCTCGTGAAAAGTACGCGTAATTTAATTGTAGCTTTAGAGAGACGTATACACCATCCAAACCAATTCTACGTATGTTGTGTATAATTTGCACCATTATATGAAAAAGTTGATGCTTACCCCCGACACATAATTTTATTTTCAGATTAGGTCGGGTAGGGAGAGCAAAGGAGATAATCAAATCAACTGGACAACACATTGAAATTGGCGACATTCAGAAGGTGGATAAAATTGAAAAACATTTGATGAATTGCTTTGCCGCCAAAAGAGCTTGCGACTGGAGCACAGTGATGAGAGAGAGCGAAGTTGCTGTAGCAGCTGGAGCAGATGCCGCCCCTCAGGTCAGAGGGCATCTCTAGGCGCACCTTCTGCGATCTAAATTTCCCCACTTTACATGCAGAAGACGGGAACCGTGGCAAAGAGGTTCATGCTTTCATTTTGTGTAGGTCCGGTGTTAAATAGTTATGTGCATTAGTGCGTTATGGCCCGTGGTTCCGTTTCTCACCAATTTTCTCAATTTCAGATTGTGGCCCTGAAAGCAGAAGCTCTGGTGAAGCTTTCCAAGCCTGAAGAAGCAGATGCTGTTTTACAAAGTGCTCTGAAAGGCGAAAGTTTGATGAGGAAGTCCAGTAGCAGCCCTGCTGATACGAGCATTCTCTGTGTCCTAGCTCAGATTGACATGGCACTCGGCAGGTTTGATGATGCAGTTATTGTTGCTGAGAAAGGAGCACGTCTTGAGCCGCATAACCCAGAAATTTCGGATCTTTTTAAAAGGGCACGAGCCGTGGCTACCGCACGAGCTACTGGGAATGATCTATTCAAAGCAGGCAGGTGGTTGGAGGCAGCTGTAGCATATGGCGAAGGTTTACAATACAATCCCACCAACGCAGTATTGCTGTGCAATAGAGCAGCGTGCAGGTTAATTTACAACCTCCGGAGTACAATTATATGCAATCGGCAAACCCTCTTTTCGTGGGCGTGATTAGTCAACGAGCTGCCTTGTGCAATTGCGCTGCTAGGTTTATTCAAAGTTTACTTTTCTTAAGATTTCCTTTTTTCAATATTTGATCTTTTAGCTCTCATTCGCAGATCAAAACTTGGTCTGTATGAGAAGGCCATCGAAGACTGCAACGCGGCTCTAGATGCATACCCTAACCATTTGAAGGCTCTTCTAAGACGAGCTCATTCAAATTCGAAGGTACTTATCTTCTAGCCAAATGTATACCTTAGTTCTATCTTGCACTTGCCACCAGTTTCCGCTGTGAATAGCTTAGCCAATCTTTAACTAATGTTCCTGTCTCAAATTTATTAACTTTATAACTGGAGTGCAGCTGGAGAGGTGGAAGGATGCGCTGCGCGACTATGAAAGGTTAAAAAGGGAATTGCCAGAGGATGCCGAAGTTGCAAGGTCTTATTTCGATGCTCAAGTGGCTTTAAAGAAACATCATGGTGAAGAGACACTTCCCAAGTGGTTTGGGGGTCAAGTCGAGGACATCACCAGCAATGATCAACTAAGAGAGGCTCTCTCACATCCAGGTACAGACTGTGAAGCTCTTTGCACACTTACTCTTATTAAACGAGATTCTGATATGGTGGAGTTAGAGTCAAGTCTTAGTGCACAGATCGCATGCATATTCGTTCCGCAGTCATCTCTTTCTGATTGAATTTGGCTGAAATATTCAAGAATCAATGTCATCAGGAGTTGCAATAGTGCTGTTCAGTTCAATGTGGAGTGAGCGTTCCAGGCAAATAATCCCTGTTGTGGAGCAAATATGCAAGAAGAATCCCACCGTGAACTTCCTCAAGGTACCTGTTTTGTACATGCAATCTGTATACTGTAGTGTGCATAAAGTGATCCATTCATTTGTTCCAGCGCTTTGTCTACCATTCCGTCGTGACCTGTTAATCTGAAGGTTTGTTGTCTTGTTTGTGTGAAGGTGGATGTTCAAGCTAATGCATACTTGGCAAAATCTGAGTCAGTCGAATTTGTTCCTACGTTTAAGATCTACAAAAATGGCTACAAGGTAAAGGAGTTACAAGGTCCCAGTCAAGAAACTCTGGAGCATGCTGTCAGCCATTTTAGCCACTAGATGATTATCCTCCATTCTTTAAGAACATTTGGTCCAGAATATTTCGTTTGTCAGCAGAATAAGGGTAAGGTAGGATGCATCCGTTGCGACCCTACCTGGGAATCCGCTTCATTGTTTCTCTTCTTGAAAGGCCCCAACCTGCTCTGCGATCTCTCGATCCTGGCAGCTTTCTTTTTAATTTTAATTTTTTAATTTTTTACTGCGGTTGCTTGGTTTCCCTCTTCATTATTCCTGTCCCCAGGTGCAACCCCCCCCCCCCCCCCCCCCATTCTCCTCCTCCTCCACCATTGGTCGTATACACAACGTGATTGAGATAGCAGCCCTACTTGTAAAGCGAAGGTTTCTCGTTAGCTCTGTTCTATATGTAAAAGCAAAGGTTGTAATGTTATCCTTCTCCGTTGTTTATGTTGGAAAAATTGCTATGTACATATCTGCTGGCACCTGTTCTTTTTTGTAAGGAACAAGTCGAGGATGTGTATCCCTTCTGCCATCCGATCTCTTGACAAGGATAGGGTTGGTGTACGTGCTGACGGTGGTCATGCATATGTAGGCATCATCACCATTTGGAATTCTATTTCCTCGATTTCTAGCCAAGCGGCCATCAGATATTTCAGGGTCACCACTCTCTACTTAGTTTTGAAATAATGAGAATTGTTCATTAATTGCCAAAATTTGGTTCTCTATTTTTCATTAACTTATATTGAATGTGACTTGGTAAACTTGCCAACATATTTGTGAGCAAAATCGAACTCTGGGAGCCACTGATAAACTGCTTTGAGTCACGAATCTTGTTAAATACTTTCTTGAAAATAATACATCATGTGAGATATAGGTTTATTAAATTCTTATAAACAACACCATGTTTGTAGTGTAATTTAATTCATACTAATTATGCATTACTTGAAATTGCATATTCTTCCAGACAGTGACAGGAAAGTTCATATTATTATACACGATTTCTAATTTATTTGGTTATGGTATATAATTATTATATATAAAATAATGCATTAATATGTAAAAACGAAGCTGCAAACATAGTATTTAAGATGGCTGTGTCATAAAGTTGGTTAAATATTAGGAAGAAATTTACGCTTTGTACTTCTCAAAATCTAATTTGTAAGAAACGATTTTAATCATAGAATGGATAAATCAAAGAGACCCTTTAATTTTCTCTTATTTTGTTCTTTGACAAGGTTAGAACATATTTTTTTTTTCTGACATTTATTTTACATAAAAAATCCCATTAACCACAATAGATTCCATACAATATAGAACACACTTTGACTAATTTATTAATTACCTTGTAATAACAACAATATAATTTTTTTATAGGAAGAAATATTATGTATATATTCTTATATGTATATTTTCATATACCTATCTAACACCCTATTTACCAAATGATTAATTAGAATAATTGATACAAAAGTTGTAAAAACATGTATTAAGCAGTTGTGATGGCACTTTTGTCAAATAGAACAAAATATTTACATTTTCACCTTGCAAGAAAATAATTTTATAGTAGTGTTATGTATCTTAAAGGTGGAATTCAAGTTAAGTTAGTAAGGTAACTAGTTAGTCAATAATAAAGCAAATACTATCTATGTTTGTAAAAATAATAAGTTCAAACATATCAAATTTTAGAAAATGTATTTGAAATATAAAAATAAAATGTCTAATATAAAATTTGAGAAGAAACCATGTGTATTAGAAATTTTGTTATATTATTAAGTAATTAAAATAACATATATATATATATATATATATATATATATATGGTTTGATTTCTTTTTTTGTTTTTTATTTGTATGATTAAGTATGAAAAGATGTAAGCATTGTTCTTATTATATAATAGTTGTCATGTGTTAAAAAAAAAAGTATATAAATCAATTAAAATGGTCTTTTTAATTTAGAAATGTAGTCCAATTAATGAAAATTTAAAGTATAATTGAATTACAAAAGAAAACCAAATAGAATATATATATATATATATATATATATATATATATATATATATATATATTTTGAAACTTATATATAAACTAATTTATATTCCACCTCCAAATTTTTATCAATTTAACAATTAGTTTAGTATGTTTAATTACAACTAACAATAATACTTTCAATCTCCAAATTTCATGAGATTTAGAAGAATTATTCTTGATATCATGAACAAGAAGGTCTAAAGACATACTTAACTAGACTTGCTTGAAAAAAGTTAAATCAACAGTCAATGTTGATTTTATTGCTCAAAGATGAAATTACTCTCGCTTCAAGAGAACCATTCTTTATTGTTCAAAAGCTGTATCTCCTTCTTTTGGTGCAAGATAAGAACGTCTAGACAAGGCATCAGACAAACCTTGTTGTTTTCCTGGCCAATAAGTGATGATGAACTCGAATCTTGATAAAGACATACTCCAACGAGCTTGACGATGATTTAATACGTATACTGACATGAAATACTCAAGGTTCTTGTGATCTGTATATACGGTGACTGGATTGGAAGCGCCTTCTAGATAATGGCGCCATTCTTGAAAAGAATCCACAATTGCAAGAAGTTCTTTGTCATGGATCTCATAATTGATTTCTGCTACTGAGAATTTTCTTGAATGAAAGGCTACTGGATGAAGTTTGTCATCTGTTCCCATTTGTGACAAAACCACACCTAGAGCAAAGTTTGATGCATCTGTTTCCATAAAGAACACTTTGAAAAAATCAACACGATATAAGATTGGTGTAGACACAAACGCTGTCTTCAAAGATTCAAAAGCAACTTCCGCTTCTTGATTCCATTGGAGTTTGTCTTTACAAGTCAAACGTGTAAGTGGAGCTGCAACTCGAGGAAAGTCTTTGATGAAGATTCGATAGTAGTTGGCAAATTCGAAAAAATATTGGACATCTCTTATCGTTTTTGGAATCTTCCAAACTATAATAGTTTAAACTTTCTTAAGATCCATCATAAGTCCATCATTTAAAATGATGTAACCTAAAAAATCGACTTGAGTAGTGTGGAATACACACTTTTTTTTATCTTGGTATAGAGTCCTGTATCTCTTAATTTTTATAACACACGAAAAACATGAAATTTATGTTCTTTTGGATTCTTAGAATAGATCAAGATGTTGTCTAGATAACAAACTACAAAATCGTCCAAAAACTCTCGAAAAACATCCTTCATTAGATGTTGAAAAGCTGCTGGTGCATCTACAAGTCCAAAAGGCATGACGTTGTATTCAAAATGTCCATACCTAGTTCGAAACGCAGTCTTCTATTCATCTCCTTCTTTGATGCATACTAGATTATATGCTCCCCGGAGATCTATTTTTGTATAGATCTTAGCTTGATTCAACTAATCAAGAAGTATAGATATTAAAGGTAGTGGATACCTATTCTTGATGGTAATCTTGTTGAGTCCTCGATAATCAACACACATCCGCAATGATCCATCTTTTTTCTTCACAAATAGAATTAGAGCTCTTGCCGGAGATTTAGAATGGCGTATGAAATTCTTGGCTAGATTTTCTTCAATATACTCCTTGAGTTCAGTGAACTCATTTTGTGATAAACTATAGCTTGGTCCGAATGGCAGTTGTGCTCCTTCTTGAAGGTCAATTGAGCAATCATAGGGACGATGTTCCGAGAGTGTATCCGCATTCTTTTTTTTGAATACATCTTGAAATTCTTGATATTGGCTTGGAATGCCACTTAAAGTCTTTCCACCAGTAGAAATAGGTGTGGCATAAATAATATATGGTGATTCTTTCATAGTAGCATGCAAGAAAGCTTTTGCATCTATAAACACGAGTTTAATTGAACTGGACTTATGACTTTCTACTTGATTAACTACATTGTTAGTTATACTTTTAGAAAAAGTAAGAGTTCGGAAAATCCAATCTATTTGAGGGTTGTATTTTTCTAACCACGATAAACCTAAAATGACTGGATTAGAGGGAGATCTAATGATATGAAATACTACTAAGCTATTATGATCATTGATTATTACTTCTATAGGAAGGGTTTCATGAGTAATATCTCTAGAAGACAATGGACGACCATCTATGACTTCTACATGAACAGGTTTAGTTTTCTTTACTAAAGATATGTTATGTCTTTTAGTAAATTCTTCATCTAAGAAACACGGCGAGGCTTCTGAATCTAACAAGGCAGAGGCTTTGTAATGTTTAGGTCCTAAAATAATATTTAAGGTAAAACAAGGAGAGGGCTCTAAGGAGAGAATAGGACCTTTACTAGATGTTGTGCAAGGTGTGAACCCTAATAGTTTTCATCCATATGAGAAGAATATAATAGTTTTCATCCATATGAAAAGAATATAATCTGAATTTCAATTCAAAAGTGCTAAAAATACTCTTCTTAGTAGTCTTAATCATACATAAATCCCAATTACCTTGTTACTTTTATATTTGAGTAATTTAGATTTTTCTTGTAAGCCCCAATCTTAATCAATGAGCTTTAACAAGCTATAACATCCAATCCGACCATCCACTTGATGTAAAATATTACATAAAATTTTCAATGTAAGTCTTTTATTTGCTCAAGAATTTTTAGCTCAATCCAACTTATAAATTGTGAGAAAACCTCCAAAAAGTACACTAATGTCACTCGACTACCAACTTGAAAAGTGAAGCAGAAATCCCAACAATGATTTCTCCCTTTTTAATAGTTAACTTTGACTCAAAATTGGTATGCAGGTTGATCTTCAAGTCCTTCAAGATCATGCCAAATTTCACCCTTATCCAACTCATATATCTCCAGATATCACAGAAATCCTACTCAACTTAAAACTGCCAACTTCCAAAATCCTCTTGTATTAAAAACTAGATATCTCTAAACCATGCCATTAGATTATCACAAAATTTTGTATACACTTAGTAAACCTAATAATCCAAAAAATATCAAATTTTTAACTATAGATGTCATACGAATTGCACAAACTAGCCAAAATTGCTAGCCCTAATTATATTATATAAAATCCAAATCACCAATACAAACCCTGATTTTGAACAACAATTGCTAAGTCTTCAAAAACCTTCCAAAAATAATCCTATGCTTTTGGAAAGAACTTCAAGTTAGCTCTCAAATCCTATCCTTTGATCTTCAAATAAATCCCTATTTTGCCCCAATCTGTCGTTTTTGTGGCCAGAGGTCTGATTTCAATCCTGTCTCACAAATAGCCGACCCTCGAGTATCAATCTAACCTATCCTAA